AATTCCCCCAGCCCATTCGAATTCTCCAGGTCGGAGTCTGGTATAGTCCGCATCCAGCACCAAACCGTCCGTCTGCCTCTCTTTCTCCTCCTCCTCTTCTTCTTCAAACTCCCAACCTCCATCGCCCCGGAATACCTCGGTCGCCAATATCTCCTCGACTCCCTCGTCTCCTTTATCTCGACGACCGAAATCAGACGCACAGCTTCGCTTTCGCTATCGTTTAGAAAACAACAACAGCAGCAGCAAACAACAACCGGCTGCCTCGGGACAAACATATCCCCTGTCTTTTCTCTCGCTCGCTTTCGGACGAAAAAAAAAAACCATCCGTCGTCGCTGTCATACCAAAAAAAAAAAAGAGAGAAACCCTCCCATCTCGTTTTTCCAACCCGACCGTCTCTCTCTTCAACAGAAACCGACAATCCACACTCTATCCGACCGTCGAAGACGAAAACAGCAGATACTCTTCAGAGAGACGTAGCCTCCTCCTCTCCTTCCCCAAGGGTCTCTTTTCCCAAGGGTCTCTTTTCCCCAGTAAAGAAACCCCTCCCAATCGAGCGAGGGCTCCCTTTCGAATCCCTGTCCCTGATCAGCGCGTGCGACGACCGCACCGCAATTTAATACGTCACAATGGGTATGCCCTCACCCCGACCATCCCTCTGATCTCCTCACGGCCTCGGGAGCGGAACGAGAAGGAGAAGAAGAAGAAGAAGAAGAGCTCGGGAACCATGAGGGTGTGATCGATGACTGATCCGATGATGCTGACCTGACCTCTCCTCCCCGACAGCCGAACCGACGACAACCATCGTACCCTTCTCCAACACAGCCATCCTCCCCTCCTGCGCCGCCGGCTGCGGTGCCCTCTACGATGCCAACGGCGCCTGCGTACCCCCGGCCGTGCCCACGGACGCCGCCACCACGGCCTACACATCGTGCTTCTGCCTCGACACGAGGGTCATCGCCCTCTCCACCGCCACCACCGGCGTCTGCGACGACGTCTGCCAGGGCGCCGAGCTCAACTCGGTGGCCACCTGGTTCAGGAACATGTGCAACGTCGACGACGCCGCCAAGAACACAGACACGACCACCGCTACCGCTACCGACTCTGCCTCTGAGACCGGCTCTCACAGGAAGAATACCGGCGGAGGCGGTGACTGGTACGTCTTCTTCTCTTTCCTCTCTTCTCTCTTCTCTCTCCCTCTCTCTCTCTCTCTCTCTCTCTCTCTCTACACATCTCTCCATCCCCCTCTCCCTAGTTTCGTACCCCTTCTCTCCCCTCTCCCGAATGAAGAGCTCCTTCTCCTAATACCACCCTCCTCTCATAGGCTATCTAACCACTGGAAATGGGTCATCATGCTCGTCGTCCTCGTCGTGGCCATCGTGGGCATCTGGGTGGGAGCATGCATCTTCCGTCGTCGCTACCTCAAGAAGAAGGAGCAGCAGAAATTCACCCTCAAGAATCCCGGCGGCGTCTCGCCCGAAGGAGTCGTTGGCGCTGCCGGCGCATCAGGAACGCCAGGCGCCGCCGGCCCCGACGCTGCTGCTAGGCAGTCTACCCCCGCCCAGAGTGGTGTGTCCTCTTCTCCTTCCGAAAAAATTCGACGATGGACGGGGAGGTCTTGAGACGCAGTGGTCTCTCTGTTTCGTCTGTCTTTTCTTTTTATTATTTTTTTTCCCTTTCTTTCTCTGCTTCAAAGATTTCTTGACAGAGCTACGACTCGGCGTTTTCCTGGAATTCTTTTCATCACTCTATACTCGACTATTTCCACAATCAACTTCCAGGCCTTCATTTGGCATGTAGAAGAGAAAAGAGAGAGAGATATATATACATATATTTCCCTCCCTTCTTCCCTCATATCCCCTTCCTACTTACTGTCTTCTTTTTACTTTTGCTTTTCTTCGTCACCTCTTGAGCGTAATTCATAGTCCCAGGCTTCCCTTACGGCGTTTCGTGGACCCCAAAACGTTTTCTCTGTTTATTTTCCTACTGTTTCAGCTTTGGGCATCAAATCATGGGATCGACGCAAACGGTGGTCACCACCGGGGGGAGGAGGAGGAGCGGTGTTCCGTCGGTCTCAACCTTTCTTCTGGCGTTCTCTTCTTACTCCCTTCTTCCTTGTCTTCTTACCGCTTCTCTATCCGGCTTTCCTTGCTTGCGAGTATTATAGGAATCCAGACAACTTTCTTCATTACCGTCACCGCACATGTTTCATTTCCTTCTTCCAACCTTGAACCTTGGCCGATAGACACACCGCGACTTCCATCAGCTGTCGTCGGTCCTAGTTTCGGTGCTCGAGAGATGGGCAAATCACCCACGGTGAAGAGCGGAAATATCAATGCCAAGTCCAAGACATGTAATGGAACTGAGACGGTCATTTTTCGCCCATTCCCACAGTCTTCCATGTATTACAGTGGGGAAAGAGACAAAAAAAGAAGAAGCAAAAAAAAAAAAAAAAAACAGCGAGACTCGCATCGTGCAATGATACGCCGTGTTCCATTGCAAATGACCATCAGGTGCTAGGTCCTCCATTTTGGAGATACGCACATCCCGCATGCTCCGCTCTCCCTCGACACACCAAGCTGAGCTACTGCTGCTTCTTCATCGTCACCTCATCTCCCTGCTCCGTCGCTGCGTCCATGTACAGATCAATCAGGCACCCTGCCGACCAGGCTTGTGTCGGGCTCTAGAAACACACACCCGGGTTAGCCAAAGGACACACACGTCTTCGTAGACGGTCCACGCGTAAAGGGCAGTGCTTGAAACGTACCGAATCAGGGCAGTGCTCCCCGTTCTTCTGCGTCAGCTCCGCTAGTCCTGCCCACACGCTCTCCTTGATCATCTGCTTGCAACCGGCCAGACGCCTCGTCACTTGCTGGAAAGCTTCGGTGCGTCCCGCCACCGTGCTCCTCCTCTTGAGGTCAAACTTGAGAAGTGCGCGCAGGAAGAAGCCGGTCGGCCACAGCCATTCGGGTCCGGAGTGGTAGTTCCTGCCCTTGCTCGTCGCAAAATCGGTACTGTCTTCGCTGTTGTTATAGTACGGCCTGTAGCCGTAGTCTTCTGGGTCCAGCGTGGCCATGCCTGTCGGTCCTCTGAGGGCCTTGTCCGCGATGCAGAGCGCCTCGAGGGCGTGATCGGGGTCGAAGAGATCCGGAGCGACTGCCATGGCGATGGGGAAGTTGCACCGAAGCTGGTAGTCCTCATATTCTTTGCCCGACTTGTACAGGTCCTTGTAGATTCCGCGCCGGTGCACGACGGCTGGGTTGATGTCGTACTTGCCGTCATCGTCAGGTGACGCTGGGACGAAGTAGCACCTCTCAAAGTTGGCCTTGATGCGGGCGGCCCAGTCCGACAGGGACACAGATGTGCCCTCCGCTGTCCTGACGTCGCCGTAGGCATACCGGCCCTGCCTGTGAAGCTCCGACAGCCACTGGAGACTGCTGTATAGGAGCCCCGTGATCTCGACAGCGGCGCCGTCGCGAGGCGTTCCTGGGATCCCCTTCGAGCCTGCCTTTTCGCTCTCGCCCATCTTGTCCATCCACGTGCCGCAGTTGAACTGGTTGCCACCGAAGATGATGCCCGTTTCCCAGTCAACCTTGATCTCCTGGTTGAAGCCTTCGTCCCGCATCTGCGAGTCAATCTGAGGGCCGGCATTGGCCTCCCTGTACTTCATCCCAGACGCGTGCCTCTGGAGTGCCTCTTGGATGATGTCCTCAATGGTGCTCTCCTCCGAATAGGCGCGGGGGTCATCAGACGGGAACCAGGTGTCATCATAAGGCAGGAAACGTCTCGGGACCTTTGTCTGGAGCAGCTCCGTCCCCTCCGGCGCAAGCCTGACATAGTCCTGGATGGTTTGGATGTAGAACCAGATGGAGTCGCGGGAGTTGTAGCGCGGTGCATCGCCGCTGCTCAGAAGGTTGGGGATCATGCCGTGCTTCAAGACGCTTCCGAAGGCGACGATATGTTCCTTGGCTTCCTCGAAGCGCCCGGTTCCGATAAACAGCCCACGTATCGAGATGAAGACGTCGCGTCCCCAGCAACGCGCCCAAGAGACAGCAAAATGCGGCAGTCCTGCAGCAATTGACGGGACCAGTTCCTTAGGCCAGAGAGAGCCGGACTTTGCGTAGCCCGTCTGCTGCACGCCGACGAGCGCGAGCTTCTGGAGGAACCACTGGCCGTTCTGGATGTGCGAATTCATGAGTTGGACTGCCCTCCTGGTCGCCGCAAGGTATGCCGTCCGGAGAACGAGGCCAAAGTAGCGCGGGAGGAGGAAGCTAGGGGTCCGTTTGATAGCATGGAAGCGCATCTGGAGCCACTCGGCAGGCTCGCTCAATCTCCTGTACTTGTCATCCTTGCTGAACTGTTCCAAGCGGCCGGTGATGTAGTCCAGCGCCCATTGACCGTCCCGGAGGTTTTGGCAGAGTGGGTGAGCTAGGTTGTTGTCTCTGATGATGGGTTCCAGGACACTCCACCACCCCTGCAGGCCAGCATATACGAGCTTGCCATGCCCCGGAATGTCGTAGACGCCAGTGCGCCCGCCGCTCGAGTCCAGCTCTTCGGCCTCGCATCGATATAGCAGCAAGTTGAGATCGATCAGATCCAGCTGGCTCATAGCCGCATCCGCTCCAGTGGTGACATAATTATCCAGACCAGATGAGTGTTCGGCTGTGGGAATCCAGGATTCAAACAGAGCAATGCTTCCAGGTGGGAATTGGCTGGGAATCGTAATGGTAGTGTCGTCCCCGTCGGTCTTGACTCCGATTCCCCCGACATCAACCACTCGACTCGGGAGACCCCGCAGGTATTCTTCATCACCCAAAGTCTTCTCTATCGCCTCTGGCGTGGAGTCCACCTCGAGCTTCCAGCTACCAATGTGCTTCACCCTTGTTCCCGTGAGATGGACAGGGTTGAATGCTCCGTTCCCATCACCATAACCGGGGAAAGCCGTGTGTGCGATGAGGAAATACCCCTTTCTCGACTCGGGATGAACTCGGTGGACGGTGATGTACTGATCCTCGTGGTGTATGTGAGTCTCATCGTATCCATCCTTGCCCATGATGGTGTGAATTTGATTGAAGAGCTTCTTGATACCGCCAATGCCGTTCTCTCCACCTCCAATCTCCACCGACTTGGAGCTTGACGACTGTGAAGTGTAAAGCCTGGTCTCGTTGACGAGGTCTACAAGCTTGGGGTAGATCTCATCGTATCCCATGACACTGCCTGTCGCGCTCGAGCACATGTTGACGAGGGCCGCGTTTGGCAACGTGTCGCGGGCATCTCGCTTCTGGGCCGGTGTCTCATTGTCGTGCGTACAGTCCATGAAGAGGGCGTGCACTGGCGTGGGCTTGATGGTGCGGATAATCTCCCTGGAAAGTTCACCATTGGTCTCCTTGTGATCGACCCCGTTTGCACTGGCACCCGGCCCAGTCCGCGAGTCCGATTTGACGACTTCGTCCACCTCAAAGCTCCCGATGGGACGACCACCGTGCCTGTGTACGAGACGGCTGAGTTCGCCGGTGCTCCACGCCTGCATGGCCTCCCGAATAAGCGAGCTTATTCCGAGGCGCTTGACAAAGAGATAGTCCATCTCTTCGGAACCGGTGAAGAGCTCGGCGACGACGTAGAGGTTGGGCCGCACTCGGCGGGCCTCGTCTAGGATGTGCTCGGCCACATGCATAGGGGTGGAGTGACAGTTGTCGATACGCAGGCCGGCAAAATATGTGGCCAGCATGCGCGCATACTTGGTCATATGCTCCCATAGGAATGGGCTGTCCCGAGGGCCTGATCCATATCGGAGTTTCACGCAGTCACCCCATATGATGACCTCACGTCTGAGATAGACGCGTACGTCCGGGCCAGCGTGGTCGACTAAGGCGTTGCCGCCCCAGACCCAGCCGTTGTTGACAAGAGCCAGGTCTCTTGGCGGGTGGTTTGCCGTCCTGTCGTTCTTGGGGAGACGTGTGAAATAGGACTCCGTCAACGGGTTCTCAGCGGTGACAGGCCCCATCTTGGGGCCGTGGTCGTCGAGACGAAGATATTTGATACGATTGAACGTCTGGTCCATGATCTCATCCGCATCGCTGTCGTATTCCTTGTAAAACGGAAGGTTCAGAGTCTCCAGGATCTCAACTGCTCTCCCGCGCACGGAAGCTTCGTCGGGCGAACCAGAGTCTGGAGCAGCAGCGTATTTCCCTGCCATCAATGCGAGAACAGTCGCAAACAGGCTCGGTTCGATGCGCCGCCGGAACCTCTCACCGAGCCTGTCGTTTCCGGTAAGAGCATACTTTCGGAGGAAGTCGACCTGCGCCTCCAACGTACCCGCCTCGAGGGCGGCCTGCCTATCTGAAAAGTCGGAAATGTCTTGCGTCGATCGAGTCTTTCCAGCAATCCAGCACTCGACGGCCAAATCGGCATCTCGGTCCACATTGAGCACGTAGTATTCCCAGAGGCGTATCTCAGCGAGAACATTACTCTTCACGGCCTCCATGATCTTGATGAGATCATCAGTAGATCTGATGTCGGTGGGGAGGCCGAGAGATTCCAGCTTGGAGCTGAGTTCGATGAGCTTAGTGTCGAGCTCATAGGCCGATTCGAGCCAGGGCGCAGTGTTGAGATTGTATCCAGCATCGGGATGTTCCTCGAGCCAACGGGTGTTGTTGGCCGTGTGGTTGAGGACAATGTCCGTCAGGCTCAGCAGCGAGTGATTCTTCTCAAGGCTCTCTACCATGAGCTTGGCATCCTCCTCGCCGGCGGGAAAGCAGGCGGGGTCCCAGCCGAGCTGGTCGTACAGGCTGTACGGCGAGTTGGACGAACCGCGGACCTGGAGCGGGGTGAAGTGTATCATGTTGTACCCACGATTACTGATACCCTCGAGGTGGCGCTCCCAGTCGGTAGGGTACTTGCCCATGAACTTGCTGATGACAGAAAAGATCGAAAGCGCCGGGAGCGGCAGCGGGGAGCCGTCAAGCTTCAGGCGCGGCGCGACATCAATGTAATAGAGGGGCGTCTGCTTGAGAGAATCCTCGGAGATGGCACCGTCCGTGTCATCATCGGAAAGTTGGGAGCTCAGCTCGGGAAGCTCGGCGTAGGTTGTGTAGAATGCGTAAGCTCCTGCTTCGTAGATGGGAATTGACACCTCTAGAGTGCGATTGAAATCCGGGGAAAGCCTGGGGTAAGACGGTCTTTAGAACAAGCTGCATAGGGATGAAAGCTGAGATGATGATGGCTTCTTACTTGTACTCCCTGAACCTGTCGCGGCGAAACTCGACATCTCTGTCGGGGATGTTGACCCAAAGACTGCCATGACGACATATGGAGGAGGTGCCCTCGATTGTAAAACGAACAATGACGGGCTCATCCCCACGGGGCGCAATGTAGATGTACTCGCCCGGGACCTGGGGCGAGCCATTATCATTGAGAGGCAGCAGATAGACGTCTTTAGACATGATTGTTCGTGGTATCATGCTGAGTAGAATCAGAGCGGGCAGTCGATTCTGAAGGTGGGTGGCCCCGCGCTTAGCCTGAGACACGAAGCCCAACTGGGGGTGGTCCGACTATTGGTGCGTTGATGTGACGGGACCGCCGGAGGGACAGCACGGATTTCGAGGCTGGGTGGGTTTTTTACTGCTGTAATATTATCATATGAAAGCGAAGGAGGGGAGCCAGATAAATCGGACAGGAGCAGGCACAGATGAAGACTGACAAAATCAGGAACCAAGACAGGTAAAAGTATCCATACTAGTGATAGAGAGATGAAAGAATAAAAAAGAATTAAAAAAAAAAAGGCAGACAATGACAATGGCGTGTACAGAAAGCCGTGTGACTGACTAACTGACAACAAAAAAACAAGGTAGGTGCGATGGACAAAAACGGGCGACTAACCCACTCACACCAATCCGGATGTTCTTTCACGTTCGCGCACTCTTTTCCCACTATTTATTACTACGACACTTGGCAGTATTACCTCCTCTTCCATGCAGGGCATAACATGTTCCCAGATATCTCTCTTCCAACCTTCTTCTCAGCTTACCTCATGCAAGATTTGAGCGATTATCCCCCACGGGCCACTGTCCGATTGAGCTCAACCAAGCATGCGGGCCACCCCAATCGCGATCCCCAGCCTCCACTTCGATCCACATTGGGGAACGTGTAGTGATACTGAGTCTGCGGGTGCACGTTGGCGGGGCAAGCTGGCTGCTGCCCGGCGAGCTGTCGTATAGACAACACGAGAAGTCTGCGGAGCAGATGAGACGGCGAGGACTATCTACCATATGATGCTTGCTGAGAGGAAATGAACTTCTACTCTGCTTCGATACTGCCTTGATTCTCTCCCTTACTCTGTGACGTCACGGAGAAGCGTCTGAACGCAGCCGTGGAGCCATGATGCTTCCCCACCTGCATGCCATCACCTTCCCACACTTGACCACACCGGCTGCTTGCCATGATCAGCAAGCAGGCCCCTGCTGAGCTCAAGATCCACAGGAACCAAACGTCGAAACCGTTGTCGACCCCTATTTCTCGTCTTCCCCATCCCGTCGATTGGTAATGAATACCATTGCCGACGATGCCGTTGCCAACAACACCAACCCCCCCCCCCCCCCCCCCCCCTCGCCAGACCACCGACGCAGATAGGCGGCGGTAAGCAGTATTACTATTACTCTCTCCTGACAATTGAAAAGGGGGCTTCGAGAGTCGACGCCAAACCTTCACACGTAATTAGATTGTTGATATTAGCTATCGGAGTCAGATATCCACGATGGCCGAGGTGATGTTGTTCTCCAACACCGCTCGAAACCTCCTCCACCGATTCCACGAGGGACTCTCTTCGCATGCAAGGCTCTCGACATGCTGCAGCAGAGCGCTGATGGCGAGAAACTCGCAGTCGCAAGATGGGCAATTGGCATGGAAAATACCCCGGAGGTAACTGCAGTTGAGTCCACAGGACTGCTCGGCTATGCGATTGATATCGTCCCTGTCCACACCAGCTCCGAGACAGGCACCGGGCTCGAGGTGGAGGAGAATGGCCGAAAAGGTTGGGAAGCTTCTGCCACATCCACCAATGCAACTCTGGTCCCTGGGCATGTGTGTCTGGGCATGCTGCAATGAGGGTTCAGACGTCAGATATCCGACGGAAGTACCACTAAGACTGTAGAGAGAGGAGGTGCAACTGCTCGTACCTGTCTGACAGCGTTGGGGGAGCTGAAGTACCGACCGCAAACGCCACACATGTTGTGCTTATCCACGTCGTGGCGCCTCAGATCCTCGGGTCGCCCAAAGAACCTGTCACACGGGCTGCAGTAGTTGTGGATGTCTTCCATGTGACCATCCAGCCCTTCCTGGGAGGAGAAGTCATCGTCGGAGTCCCAAGGGCACTCATAGCAGAGGAAGTGATAAGGCGAATCCCTCTGGTGCTGACGCAAGGCGTCCGTGGAGCTGAAGCCCCTATCGCATCTACCGCAGTAGGGCATGGCGTCGACTCAGCACAGAGCAGGAAGGGGAAGGGGTCTGATGTCTGCGTCTGTCGTCACTACAGAGTAGAATCCACCAGTCTGCGTGAGCCGTGAACAGACTAGGAGGAGAAAAGCAAGGCAAGAGAAGAGGGGGGGGAGGGGGAGCGAGGGTTGAGCCCGATGGAATTACCTACTTACTACGTACACGTGACAATCATGCCGGTTACAGAGTACTGCTACTAGATTCATACAAGATACTCTACCAGCTTTACTCTTCTACGGACTTCCATTGTCTTTATTGGCTGTCGTTTGTCTTCCCGTCCGAACCAAGGGGCCGTTTGAGGGGTCCCTATGTGAAGCCCCTCCCCTGACCGTGAATACCAATGGGAAACAAGAGCGGATAAAACACCTGCAGCCAACAGGGGACCCAACAAGGAGGCTCACTTCAGTATCGCGGGGCTCAAAGATTACTCCGTACATGATCACGTATGCTCGATACTCCCGGCATATTCCATGTCTTTCTGCTCGGGTTTGTTGGCCTTTCACGTCGTTTGTCTCCGCACTTTTTCTAGTCTGCGATTCACGAATCTTATCATTAGAGTAACATGGTTCTTCTTCTTTCATGACAGGCCTCTTGTCAGCCTTCCCTCCGGGTATGGCTCTCTCCATGCCATTCTCGGAAGAATACCGGCCAGCCAGCCACAATCGACGATATACCATTCGCTCTGGATGTAGGTACCCTTGATCAGATGCGTACCCCCCGGACGAGCTTCACCAGTTCGTCTCTGGTTTCAACAGCTCGTTCGAGGAAATTTCCGCAGATCAAGTCCCGGTGTTTTGAAGAGGTGAATACCGCCATCCAGGGCCACTCGAAGATGGACACCCGATGAAGGGCCGGAGCGGGAAGAAAGAAGACATTCTCCCCAGGCCAGACACACAAGATTCAAGATTCAGTGGAGAGGTGGAGGCGGGCACGCTTACTATAGCCAAGGAGATCTGGTTAAGATAAAACGGCCGTAGGACTACGACGCACGCTGAAATTTCTGCTATCACGATACGCTTTTCTAGAGACATGGGGACTGGACCACAAAGCCAAGGCTGATGGTGAGCTGCTCACCCCATCTGTACATGGAATAGGCAGAGGGCACCCATCGATAATGCTATCCCTAGGTATATCCAGTAGGTAACCCGACCAACCAGCCAAGTACGGAGATAAACTCGAGCCATTTGCTCCGGAATCCATTGGCAAAGTTGTGTACCTGAGACACACGTATCTCAAAGGACTCGTCGTCCAAGTAGAGGACGCCCTGGACGATACGAATGGCTCTCCACCAGGTGCTGACGACAGTCACCTGAAGTGCAAGGCGAAGCAGATAACCGGTCAGTACATGTTCACCTGCCACATCCCACGAGAGTGTAGTGGTCCAACAGCTTTCGCTGTGTTCCAGGTATCCTGCCGACTCACAGGAAAGACAGTATGGCCCTCGTACTCCTCCATTAACGCCTGGTCAACGGCAACCCGTAGGATCGTGATCAGTTCGGCCGTTGCCAAGAGGCCGTGGATGAATGGATCTCTACTGGAGAGAAAGCATGAGACATGCGGTGTCGAACGATCGAGAGCGGCAAGAAGGCTCCCATCGTTAGTGTAGCAGTAGGTGCAGATTCTATGAATGGCAATGACCTCCCATTCGACCTTGTTGCCGGCGGGGTGGACACGTCTGAGATGCTCCAGATTTGTCCTAGGACCCCGAGTCTTGGTTAGCCGATGCCGCACAGCATAGACAAGTGCTACGCGTCTCAATGTTGCCATCAATCCTGCCTACTCTTCGATCCGCCTCGGACAGAGCAAAGGCTCCGGGGAAGCACCGTCGATATACCGCCAACAGCCACCAGCGAGGTACGAGTGGATGAACTTGCCGAGAAACTCGGCTTCTTCTTGGGCGTCGCGGAGATGACAATAATATACTGAATCCGTATCTACAAAATCGTAGGGCAATATCCTCTAGGCCTCTTCGAGCGAGAGCATGTGGATAATATAATGCGGCTGAAGCGGATAGATAAACTGTTGGCCAGCCGCCGGTCTTCCCGTTTCAAAACCGAGCGACGTCATACGAATCCCGAATGTATCTCGGAGACAATCAGGATCGATGTAGATGTTCTCAGAGTCCCCCAAAGGTTCTATATATCTGCGAATGATCGAGTGGAGTTTTCTTTCGCGCTCGCTGCAGGATTGGATCCGCTGGCTGATTTGAATTCCATGGTCTCGGTGTGTGTCGGGTAGGGGATCCACGCCATTGAAGGGCGCTTGGTGAGAAGAATGCTGAGACATTGTGGCTTCTTGTGAACTATGTATATTTGTATCGATGGGTAGATGTGTTTTTCAACATCATAGCGAAGATGTGAAGGCGAAAATGAAAGAAAAAAAGAGACGTGATTCCAACGGGTGGACGATGAGAGAAAGTCTGACTGGTGGGTGGCACCTTCTCCTTGAGGCTTTCGTAGATGTATGTGCATGTACGAATATGTATTATGTTGGCAGGAGCGGGAGAGATGCCATGTCACCCCTTCCTAGTCGATGCTGGATTTCCAAACTACATTCTATCCACGATGAAGCACATTGTCGTTTCCGTCCTCGATAACCATGTTGCATGAAGGTTCGAGTTTATTCGTCCATGGGTCGTCACCAAGTATGTAAGTATATACCCTGTTTGGCATTATCAACAGCCTGTCCCTATATCCATACATGCACAATCAGGGATCGCTGGCGTAGTGCACCGGGCGAGCAGCATACTTGTTGACACGGAGGCTGAGCTGGTCGGGGCGGCAGTAGTGCCCGACGACATCGAGGTTTTGCTTGGCGAAACGCTTGACCGAGAGGTCGACCTCGGCGACGAGGATGCCCTCCTCACCCGGGTCGAGGCGCTTGACCAGCTCTTTACCCCAGGGGTTGTAGATCATGCTGAAGCCACCGTTGGGCGCGGCGTGGCTGGTGGCGTAGTTGAAGTCCTCGATGCGACAGCGCTTGAGACTCTCCTCGGACATAACCTGGCTGGCGACGGCGACGAAGCAGGCGCCCTCCAGGGCAACAGATCGCGAGAGGTGCATGCACACGTCGTCGGTGATGTGGGACGGCCAGTCGGCGTCGGCTTCACCGTCGTCCTTGGTGGGCGTCGGCCAGACAGGCGGCCAGCTGGCAACGTGGATGTCGACGTCCTGCTCGTACTCGTAGTAGCGCAGCAGCAGCTGCGTGTGCTCCCAGCAGTTGAGGCCGCCGATCCGGACAGAGGGCAGCTTGGTGCTCGGCGCCACCGACTGCAGAGACTCGCCCTGGCCGTCGCCGTAGTATGCGCGCTCTACGTGAGTAGGCTTGATCTTGCGGCGGTGGTGGACAATGACGCCGTTCTCGTCGATAAAGGACTGTTCCACCCGTCAGATTTGATTTGGGGGGGGGGGGGGACAGAAAAAGGAAGAAGAAGAAGAAGGAAGAAGAAGGAATAAGAAGGAGAGGAAGCAGAATATATCCGGCTCATTTCTCGATATGCGTGGCGTACCTGAGCAATGTATAGTGTTCCCCTGTACCGTTCACTGTATCCGAGAACGACGAAGACGCCGGCCTCCTTGACGGCAGCGCATATGCGCTCCATCTCGGGAGATTCACGCTCCATCGAGTTGCGGAAGTATTCGTCCATGAACTTGCCATTATCGATCGGGTTCTGGGCCCAGATGCTCCTTTACACAGTCAGCACCCGGTGTCGGAGCTTCTAGTGCCATCTTGTCATGGAGAGAGAGAGAGGGGAGGTGGAAAATTCACCATGGATATCCGGGGATGAAGACCTCCGGGAAACCGACAACCTGGGCTCCCTTGCTGGCAGCCTCCTCGATCAGGGAAATGGACTTGACGATACCTCCTTCTAGGTCATTCCAGACGGGCTCGGCCTGGATGGCGGCGACCTTGACTTTTTGACCAGTAGTCGACATGGTGATGTTTGATGTACGATTTGCTTCTTGGGGGGGGCTAGTGTGAAAGATGTTGTGATGTTGTGATTATGGTGTGATGATGCCAAGATGTTTTCAAGTCTAGGGAGAATGGTCATTCTTATACAACTCTCGATGAAAAGAATCGTTCAACCGAAGCGTCGTGTTTCGCGATGGTAACAAACATTCATTCATCGATCGCACCACCCGGACCAACACTTTCCTATCGCCAGCAACAGCATGCATGTTCAC